AAAGATTATATTAAAACAAAATATTAACAAAAAGCTTACTTTTTTATTCAAACGAATGAAGTCAGTATATCTTCTGAATACAAACCAACTTGCTCCATTTATTTGTTCTTGAACTTTTATTTTGAACACCTTACAGAGGAGATCAAAATGCTAATTAAGTATTTTTGCATTTGCTTTTTTTTTTCCCCTATATATTAACAGTTTACTTAAAATATACACTTTTATAAAAGTAATAATATATTTGTTTCTGCAAGCTTTCAAACATTCGTACAATTTCCGAACATCCCTATACAAGTTACTTTCCTATTTTGGGGGTAAATTCACAGATTAAATGAGATATTTTGGAGGTAAATTCATCGAATCAAAAAGTAACCCATTCAATAAATAAATTTAAAAAAAAAGAAGAAGAAGAATAAAAACAGAGTAAGGATGTGAGCATATTAATATGTTTATATTAAAAGGGTCACTTGAATATACAAAAAAATTCCTGATGATTAGAAGACTAATAAACTGAGAAAGAATGATTAAACTTGAGCTCATAAGCTCAACTTTTGCTGTTGGTAAAGTTTTGGGCTCTAATTTCATAAATCCATCATAAAATAGTTTTCTAAACCAGAATTTAATAAATAGCCCTAAGCAGGTTTTATGAAGAGATTTTCTTAAGATTTTTTGTTTGTTTCATTGAAGTAAAATTTAAACAGCTGCACTAAGAGGTGTTTTATGTCAAGTAGGCATGAATAGGCTACCTAAAAGAAGATCCTTGTTACTAAACTGAAGAATGTTATAAAATCCCAACTTATATTAAAGGTATTATTACCTTTCAAATGTTTTGCTCTTTTACAAAATTGTCCCCCACTTAATAGGTGTAGAAATGTAAAAAATGTTTGCAAGGTGGTGTCCTATAGCACGGGTTCAGATAATATAGCACGGTTTTCAGATAATATGGCACGGGTTCAGATAATATAGCACGGGTTCAGATAATCTGAATTTTTTAAACTGTTTGTTGAAAAAAAAGTCTTTCCATTTAGAGAAGGTGTTTGTTAGTCATGGATTTAAGGAGAGACTTAACTGAGCGGCTATGATTTCACCATTCAGTACCCAAACCAGAGGCATAGACAGCACTACAGAGTTGGGAACGGTGGTCTTTTCTCAAACAAAGTGGACCTTTTCTTCTACACAAAAAAATGTAAATGACTTATCTTAGCCTAAATGAAACTTTTAAACTGCCAAGTTGTAAACATCGTAGGTAAGCTTTTTTCAAATAAACAAACTGGAACATAGTGGATATTTTTAATTATTGGGGTGTTTGTTCAACACCCCCAGACTGTGCCCTTGCCCAAACTAACCTCAACTCTGGTAGTTAAAGTACTATAAAATTCAAGTCCGTAAACTGTGACTGCTTTCTTTAGTTTGCTGGAAGTCTCTTTAGATATGACACTAGAAAATAATACTCAGTTTTTAGGTAATATCACAAAGTTAAAAAATATACACAAGAATTTCATGTGTCATCAGAAATGAGCTTTAAATTGACTTACATAAATAATAGTGTAGGAAAATTGTTTTGTTACCATGTCAAATAACTTTTATAAATTGCTCAAACAAGATTATTTTCTAAACTCAATTTTTTAAGTGTAATTTATTTTCATCTTGAAAACAGTAAAAACTCTTATGAACAATAAAAAAAAAGTTTACAATTCTGATAACTATATACTTGTATGTTTTTTAAATTTAAATACTAACCGTGAAACGAGCTCGTTCTTCCATTACTTCATACCCGACAATTGGTACACAATATTCTACATTACCATCAGGTGTAAGTGATGAATAAGATTGTTGTGACGACAAACTAGTTTCATGTGTTGATCTATCAGATGTTACAACACTTGTACTGCTATCACTCCTAGAAAACAAGGAGCTAATCTGGCTCAGCATTCCACCCATTATTTCTCCATTTATGATTTCATTGTCCTTTATACTAGTTTTGTCACCCAGTTCTTCTGATATAATCTGTTCCTTGTTTTCCTGAATTTGGCTTTCAAGTTTTCCTAATTTTGATGCATTTGTTTTTGGTACCCGAACACTAGCAATTGTGGCACAGGTATTTTGGGGGTTTATATTAATATTATCTACACTGTTTATTAGTCCTGAATTTTCCATAAAATAATGATCTTTGAGGCCAGAAACTGGTGTCAAATATATCACTTTGGGCTGATTCTGTCATTGTTCACGTGCCCAATTACTGTTACAACTGATACCAGATGAAACATTACCCTGTCACAACTTCCAGCATCTCTGTAAATAAGAAATAGAAAAAAAAACAAGCTAATGGTTAGTTACTTTGACCTTATTGGTTATATTATTTGAGACAGCTTTAAATATTTTAAACAAACTTTAATATTCATTAACATTTATTTTTGTTTAATTACACTAATTAATAACAATGGTTATAATGGTAAAAGTACTTTTTAACATATATGTTTGAATTTGTACATTTGTGAAAATTACTTTGTTTTGTTGGCTTAGTGTATGAATTTAGAACTAAGTTAAACCTTCTAAGCTGGCTGAATCACTAATACAAATAGTGAAGATACTCAATTAATTAATGTTTTTAATTAATATAGTTTCTGTTCTATTGTGAATTGTTTTATAGTTTAGTATGTGTGTTAGGTTAGGTATATAAAATCAGAAGCTTTATTAAAAATTACACGTCTGAAAACAAGATCACAGAGGATAAACATGTCAAAAAAAACTTTTAAAAAGGAGTGAGTAACTCTACAATCTATATATACTCATTTAGTAACAGCTGTTTGTGTATTTCATTGTCAGTCATGTTACATCTAATCCACAAATTAAGGTTTACAAATAAATTTCACAAGTTTAAAAACAGGCATTTCAACCGACCCTTGAACTTGTATTTACATCAGTTTACTTCACACCTACACACACACAGTAGCAAGTCTGAGGGCTTATAATGTTAAAAACTGGGTTTCGATACCCGTGGTTAGCACAGCATGGATAATCCATCGTGTAGCTTTGCACAATAAAGTAACATACATCAAAGTCGTATTATTTCTCTGTATTACATGGCATCAATAACCTATTTACACATGTCATTTCGTCAACTTAAAACACCTAGCGTTATCCGCGCAAAATGCGTAGCCTGGCAACGACGAAAAAGACATATCCAACATAAATGGTTAGTAATATTTTTTTGTTGTTATTGTTCGACTTGTTTATCTCGAAAGTTTAGTAAAATTTTGCATTCGTTTCACTAATGTGTTTTTTTATTACTTTTATCACACAGTTAATTAACTTTAATGTGCAATCATTAAAAAAAAATTCAGAAATAAAATTTACGACATGGTTGGTGATTACAAAGAAATTTTGAAAAAGGCAAGAAAACTGCGTATTAATGATACAAGACAAACGCAATCAGGGTGTGAAATATACGAATGAAAGGAATATGTAACAATATATTTATTTGTTGATTTAAATTTTTGTTTGAGAAAGTCGTTAAATACAGGTTTATTGTAATGTTTTATAGCATTTTTATAAACACAAAAAACACATCATGAATCACGATAGTTGTTCATAAAAGGGAACGCAAAGAATTGCACAAAACCCTAATAGAACGTTCGGACAAAAATCACTTTAAACAGTAAAAACTAAGTTCAAACAACACCTTAAAACCTTTACTATTGACAGCTAAGGCTGTATACATACAAAAAAAAACACAAAAAGCATTCATATTAGACTTACAAGAAAAAGAAAATCCGCTCAGAATGGCCCGTTTGTAATTATTATTCTCTTGCCAGCCTACAACAAAAATTGCTTGGTATATTGCACCCAAATCTTTTGTAGTGTAATAAATAAGGCACTGCGAAGGACGTGGGGTTGTTTAAAAGTCGATTTGTTTCTTCTATATTTTACATAAGCTAAAATCATCATCATTTCCAGTGTAAACGATGTTATCATTACCCCTAAAGTTAGCTTTCTTACAAATATCTGGTGTTCCTTCAAAAAGCTTAAGTACAGTGTTTAACGGGAATTACCAGCCAATAATAAATGGGCATTACATGACTGTAAAATGTAGAAAGTCAATGCTTTGTACACTATACAATCGGTGTCTTTAGGGAGCCAACTCCTATATTATGTATGAAATGAAGGAGTAAAAAAAATCAATATACAAAATACTAACTTTTATTACACACATTCATAGAACAATTGCTTTAAAAAATATGTTTTACACGTGTGTTTTATTTGAAAAGGCTACTTTTCTACTGGTAGTTTTATTTGCGCGCTTACTGGGTGTGTGTGTGTCTTAGTCAAGACATGTATATTTGCCCATTGCTATGCATTATATAAACAGAATTTAGTTACACAGAAAATATAAAGGCTCACTGTATTCTCTAAGAAATATCAATTACAATCTCCAGCTGCAGTTTAACATTGTAAATCTCGAATTAATGCGATCAAATAGCCAGTAGCTACAGTAAATCATCATGAACTGTATCAGCTAGCAACTAGCTACATTTATTATCATTACAAGTTAGCTACCATATCAAGCCATTATTTGCCTATAGTTGAGCATAAAAAGCCAAACAAGATTAATTAAAAAAGAAAATTTCGAATTTAAAAACCTGCAAATAGGGATCGTAAAAGAAAGATAAGGAAACAAGGCTGGAGATACTGTAGACATTATTTACTCAAATTACAAATCCTATTTTTTCCCCACCAAATGTAATTTCAAGTAACAGCATGGAGCCAAAATAGGGGTATGTAGTTTGAGTAAATAATGTCTACAGTATCTCCAGCCTTGTTTCCTTACTCTTTTTGTTTTTACGATCCATATTTGCAAGTTTTAAATTTCCAAATTTTATGTATTTATCTTGTTATATTACAAGTTACAGCTTTTACAGTAAGGAAAGTTATTTTTAGAACAGGTACGACGTTTCGATTACTTGTGCGATCATTCTCAAGTACACAATAAAAAAACTTAACTCGAAATCTCTCTTATTTGTTTCATTTCAGATTTCATAATGTACAAAATCAGTTGTCGCCTAAAATAAAAAGCAGAAAAAAGTAATAATCCTTAAGGCTCTACAACAATATTCCTACAGAGAGTAGAGTTCGTTATATTAAAACGATTTTGAACATGTAACTCAGCTAGTCACATAACATCCACAGTCTATACACTTATGTTGGAATGAAATGTATAGAACTACATTATGCAATTATTTTGTGGCAGTGTGATCCACTCAAAATTTATCGCTTAGGAAAGGGTACGTAACAGCTCTTTCCGACGCAAATGCCCAAATACTAAGATCATAAAGATTGCTCATACTAGGAATTTAAAATTCCCAAGACAGGGATATATCTTGCATTTAATGACATTGTAGAATAAAGGGGAATGGATCAAACTGGGGTACCAGGACCTGCAACAAGTCATATCCCCGTTATGACAAGCAATGGAAACTACGTTGCAGGGCTATTGTCAAGTGGCTTCAAATAGAGCATGGTCGGACTGTAGCGTTGACGTAAGGCTCAAAGATAGTGTTAATACGACGTAATAAACCTCGATTTGTGTCCCCACTTGTATCCAGATGAAATTACTCCTAAGAAAAGATTGTAAGCATATAAACAACAAAGTAGCATAGAGTCACCAGATGAACTCCTTTAAAACAAGTTTGGTTTGATTTGTTGTGAATTTCGCACAAAGCTACACGAGAGCTATCTGCGCTAGCCGTCCCTAATTTAACAGTGTTAGACCAGAGGGAAGGCAACTAGTCATTACCACCCACCGCCAACTCTTGGGCTACCCTTTTACCAACTAATAGTAGGATTGACCGTGACATTATAATGTCCCCACGCTTGAGTAAAGTGATAGTAATTAGATATTTATCTATGACTTAGGTGCCAAATAATTCGAAATATTTAAAAAGTGGTTTATACTTTCTAACCTAAGAATTCACGCTTCGTGTGCTTCTGCATTTTGTATCTCTTCCTGTTATTTCATTTTATTCGTTTACTTTTCATCGGCGTAATCCAGAAATTGGACATTTTGTTAGTTATCAAAAACAATGTATCAGGTTTTACGTTATTTTTAAATCTTATACAACATGGGGAACTGTTATTACAATTAAATGACATTAGAGAAATGTGACTATTTGGTGAATACTTATAACTGAACTGAAAATAAATTCTATGAGATTTCTAAACAAACGTTATCTTTTGATTTTAGATGTAAGATAACTTCGAAGTCTGTGTAAGAATCGAATATCGGCTGACATCTCATCAAACACGATGTTATTCTTGACTTGTTAAGAGACACCCCCAGTAGAACAGCGGTAAGACTGCGGACTTTCTATACCCGTGTTTGGCACAGCACAGATAGCCCATTGTGTAGCTTTGCGCTTAACTACAAACAGACGACTCATTAAGAAAACTAATAATAAGTTAATACTTACATCTTAAGATTAAAAAAAATAATAATAATAAGTATTGTTGACAATAAAATATATAAAGTAGACTTCGGAAAATTTAAAATAAAACCCGATACGCCCGGCATGGCCAGGTGGTTAAGGCACTCGACTCGCAATCTGAGGGTCGCGGGTTCGAATCCCCGTCACACCAAACATGCTCGCCCTTTCAGCCGTGGGAGCATTATAATGTGACGGTCAATCCCACTATTCGTTGGTAAAAGAGTAGCCCAAGAGTTGGCGGTGGGTGATGATGACTAGCTGCCTTCCCTCTAGTCTTACACTGCTAAATTAGGGACGGCTAGCGCAGATAGTCCTCGTGTAGCTTTGCGCGAAATTCGAAAAACAAACGGTATTTGTACACATCAGACGATTTTGAGATGTTTTCATGTAATTGTGAATTTATTTGTTTCAGATTTCGCATAACGTTATACAAGGGCTATCTGAGCCTAGCTCTCCCTAATTTTGAACTCTGTAATAGACCAGAAAAAAGTAATGTAGCTAGCCAATAGCCACCTATATGAGGGTCTAAACAATTTATGCCCTTGGAAGCAAATATTCTGAACGTACTTTACGAGGTCATATTGTAGTTCCGATCCCCCAGACTACATACAGTATAGGTTAGAAACCGGCCCACGATCATAACGAAGTTGGCCATCCTTGATCTAATAAAACAGAAGGATTTGACTTTTAACCCCGTTAATATTATAGCGAACCTATGGCCCCATAGTGCGGAGCACGTTTATGTGTCACGTGTCGCGAACCCTGAATCTCAAGATTCACAGCTACCTGGACACGTCTTTCGCCAGTTTC